TACGCGTAGACAAAAGAGTGCACTTTAATTTAATATAAAAATCATTAAAATCTATTTACTTTTAGTGTAAAAAATATTTACCAAAACTTTTCAAAGAAATTGCAAAGATGCACAATTTACAGCATTGCATTCTCTGACATTTTCTGAACTTTACATGCTAAATTTATAACTCGATATGGTATTTTACGCGTAGACAAAAGAATGTACTTTAATTTAATATAAGTTTCATTAAACTCTATTCAGTTTTAGTATAATAAATATTTACCAAAACTTTTCAAAGAAATTGCAAAGATGCACAATTTACAGCATTGCAATCTCTGATATTTCCAGCTATGACGGTAACATATACACCACTCTCTCGCCAAAATTTTTCTTAACTAAAATTGTTAGTTTGATGAATTTGTTTAACGTTAAAGTTATATGAAACAACGCGGAATAATAAAATAACATCAACACGATATGGTGGTAGGTACCCATATAAGTTTGTAAATAACTGATATAATGCAAATGTAAAAAAACGTATAACTAAACTTTTGGACGGTAGTGCATATTATATGTGTTCATTTCAATATAAATATAAAAAATACATTTGATCGTTTTTTCGCGAGAATGTGCACACGTACTGACATTTATCTTTAGAATGAGAAAACAAAAAAATGATACGACGATGAATAAAAATTCTCCGATCGAATTTACTTCCTCTATCTTTTTCTCTCTAACAAATACTTTATAAAAGAAAAAAAAAAATACGAGATACTTAACGATTCTAAAAATCGATGTCTCGTATGTTTCTCATACGATATATCGAAGTAGTGGAAGGCGTGCAGGTAAAATGTAAAACGAGCATGATTTACGAGTCACACTCGTGCTTTCCTTCCTCCTACCATTCCCCTTTTCTTCCATCAAGTTTCATCTCTCTCTCTCTCTCTCTCTCTCTCTCTCTCTCTTTCTCTCTCTTCCCCTTTTCTCTTTCTCTTTTTCTCGTGGGTGTCTCCCGGAGTCATGTTTATATTAGCCGGCAATAAGTGACACGTCGGTATGCCCGCTCATTTTACAAGCGTAAACATGAATTACGGTGGCCGGTTCGTGCTTCCTGAGAACATCCTCGGGCCCGATCATATTCCATGGATTCAAACGCGAGCAAACAGAAATTTGAGTAATTTGAACACCCTCAAATCCGTAGGAACTACCTTCCTTGTTGAATTACGATATCCCGAAACGGCAAATCTTCGTTAAGCAAATCCGAAAATGTACTTACTCGAGTTTATCATTCTCATTTCCGTATTCAACGGTATCCGTTCTCTAGAGACAGACTCGGAAACGAATGTACATTTTTGTTTAATTATAGTAGACCAAATTTATTAGAGAATGAATTATTAGATATATATATATATAAGATCGTTTTTTATTTTTTTTTTATTTCTTTTTTTCGTGATTAATTTTCCTAACACATGAAACTTAACTTTACAAAAGGATCGTCTAATTTTCTTTCATACAGAAAAGTAGGCTAATACGGAGTTTCGCTTTCGCAATTCAAAGTCCTGTTATTTCGTTACCAACAACAGCTTACCACCGAACGACAATAAATCCCACTGTGGTGGAGCGTACTTAATCTTGGATTAAATTTCTTGCGAAAATTGCGCAATCATCGAACGTTGTTATATCTCCCTCCTACCACTCTTTCTCTCTCTCTCTCTCTCTCTTTCTCCCATTCATTCATTCTTTTCTTTTCTTCCCTTCTCGGCAATTAGCCCGATAAAGTTTGACTTCTTTTATAACAGTCAATTCGCAGTCAAATTAGTCAGCGTTAAAATGCCATAGGTATAAAACTAAAGGTATTTATGGTAGCTCTCTAAACATGTCCAATTATAGCCAATAAACTGGATCTAATCTTGTCCTAATACGGAATATTACGGTGTTTAACCGGATTCTTTGGAATATAGACATCTGTTATCGTTAGGATCGTGTTCTACAGGGAGTTTCATTTAACCTTGCACGCCTACTTTTAGATCCACCTTATTTCTCAAATCTCGAAGAAATCTATGTTGAAAATTAAATGGAGAAATTGAGATAATTGGAATGTTTTCAATATATATATATATATAAACGTATTGTTCAGAGAGATTAATAAGAGAGCAGGTACGTAGGAACCAACGATGCAAGACGATTATAATATAGCTCTTAATACCGTGATCCAAGGAATCGGTTCGCGATACGGGAGGTCAGAGTGCTTATTGCATCTCGATGTACGCTCATTAAATCGATGTTATTAAGTGTGATTAGAGACAGATGACCGCACCGTTTGCACGGTTCAAGGATTTCATCTTCTATCCTTTCGTGTCTACTGCAACTAATGCCCTGAGAAAATAAACGCAACTACGTCTATTCACTTACACAACGTGATAGTATAATATTATACATACTTACTTAGTTACTTGCTTATTTGCTTGCTTGCTTACTTACTTACTTAAATGCATACATACATATACTCTTTACTTCGTAAAGACTATAGATAAATAGGCTTATCGTCTTTCTCGCGTCATTCGACTTTGAAAAGCACCGTTCCACTTTCGACGCCTAAATCGCGCATTATAACGGTTGTTCGATACTTACGTTACTTCGCCATGACTAAAGAGAGAGATAGATAGAGAGAGAAAGAGAAAGAAATAGACGAGAAATCGTCGAGCCAAATGCTCCTCGTTATCGTCCGATTCGTCGTTACCATTGAATTTCGTTTATGCAACTAGGAGAATATTAAGATGAAAGGAATCGATTGTAATAAAAAAGAAAAAAAAAAGAAATACGCTATGGAAAATCATTCGAAGTTTCTCTTATCTTTCAATACGTTTACCTCCAATTGACTATATTGCAATCATTTAATAGTCGCAATATCCTTTTCTTGAGAAATCTATGGTAATGTTGAACTACTAAAAGACAACGATCAAATAACAAAATTCATATCTACCGATTCTAACGTATTATAAATTTCGTCATCGTTTATATTCGTCAAATTATTTATCATTTCGCAAGATGTCACTATTTAAATTACCTTGCATTGAAAATCGTCCCGGTCTACTTGTTTCTTGCATTATTATACTTCACACCGACGGAGAAAATTTGTAAGCGACAGAGGTTAATTGTGATTCCTACGTCATAAATCACGATCGTTCAAATTATCATTGCCGTCGTTGGACCTTCTCGAACGCCCGAAGCGAGAATCCTCTCATTCTCCCTCCTCCCAAACCCTCCCGTCCTCCCTCTCCCTCTCCCTTTTCCCCATCCCCCTCGATCCGTAAAACGGGACGTGATCCGGCCGATTATTCGTGTCACTTTGACGTCGTAGGACAGCGTCGGCGATTAAGAATTATATGAGCCCGTACTGAATCGTATCTCATCCTCGCTTAATTTTCGTTCCCGCCTATAGTCGGAACGAAGCTTTCGTAATTTATACACCCGCCTGAATGATTGGAAATTCAAACGAAAGAGACTTTGATTAAACCGAAAAAAAAGAATAGAAGAAGAAGAGGATGGAAAAAAAAGGAAAGAAAATTAAAAAAAAGTTTGAACGAATTTTATAGATCGTTAGATCGATGATAATCAAATAAAAATTCTCATTAATATTGTATATTTCCCTTTATATTTATCACTAATTAATTGTTATATATTTTGACGAGCGAGTTACGCGTTTTATATGAACGATAGAGACGATCAATTATACCGTATCTTTGTCATTTAACTTAACCATTGTCCCCTGATGAGGGTATACAAATTATCCAATGTCTCCGAATGAATGCACACGACTGTCTATTTATCAACTTTCTTCTTCCATCCGCCTCTATCTTCGTTTTCTTTCTTTCTTTCTCTCATCTCTTTCTCTCTTTCTCTCTTTCTATCTTTATCTTCGACGAAACACAGCTTTCTCCAAGACATCACGTCTTCTGATGGCGATCCATTCATCGAGAAACGGATGATTGATTTCATAAATCCCACACGAAGAAGTGACTCTGGCCACTACGAGCGTATAAGATGATCATCCATCCCGTAGAAGCAATAAAGTTTTTCCTTGCGTAAGAGTCAAGAAACGTCTCCTCCGTTCGTGAAGAGAATTCGGATAAGATTGGAATGTATATATATATATATATATATATGTATGTATGTATGTATGTATGGTTCAAGATTTAAAAGGTCTCGCTTCGATCGAGCACGTGCGCACATTTTGTGCAATCTCTTTTACTTTACTTCTATTTTCTTCTCTCTTACTCTCGTACGTAGTTGTGAGAGAGCTAACAGTATATAAATATAAAATATTTTCTGTTATTTCACGGCTCGAACATTCCATAAATCTACGAGGGCCAACGAAAATGGAGCTGTACATCAACAACGTGCGTGAAATAAATCGAAGTATATAAGCCGCGAACGCGTTCCCCGCGAGAAAATATCCTATCGGACGCATAAATTCTTCGTCGAAGTATAGATGTGTTTCACTGTGTGTGTGTGTGTATCGTTCGGGCTATCGAAAAACAATCTTTCATCGTTGTGAAAAATGTTGAGATCGTACGGCGACGGCAGCGACGGTGAACGTTACGACGATTTTTTGTTCTATCCGTGAATCTACGAAAGATATTCTCTCTCTCTCTCTCTCTTTCTCTTTTCTAGTTGAAATCTAACAGAATATATCCGTATAATAAATAAAATATACGTCAAATTAATTAAACGTCCTTAAAGAATTTTTAATATTTCTCTTTTCGAACGGACTTTCTATCATGACTAATGGTCGAACACACTTGATATTTTTTTTCTTTTTCGGTTTTAACTCTTACCAAATATTCATCAAAAGAAAAAAAAGAGAAAGAAGAAGAGACTAATTCCCTATATTAATCAAAGACCTTTGTCAAATCCTATATAAGACGACTCTATTCCCGTTCGTGTGTTTACGTAAAAAAATAAATCTAACGTACCTTAAACTAACACTTTCGTTTGTGGCATGCCGTGTGTTACAGCGTGCGACTGCCACCCGATCGGAGCTTCTGGAAAGACCTGTAACCAGAACACCGGTCAGTGTCCCTGTAAGGACGGTGTAACCGGTACTACTTGTAACAGATGTGCCAGAGGATATCAACAGAGCAGATCGCACATTGCTCCTTGCATCAGTAAGTATTCACGGTTTATTTATACAAAACCGTTCTCTTCCCCATTACCTCCTCAATTACATTTTTCTTATCCTACGTTTATGCAAATTAGAAGAATAAGGAAAAAACTACTATATAGAAAAATAAATAATAAAACATGACAGAAAGGATTAGAGAATTGAAAATAAGAATAATGGGTTTGAAGTAAGAGCATGTTTATCTTGAGTAAAGGGTTGGTCTTTAAATTGCACCGAACGAATAGGAAACTTATTTTTAAAGGGATATCACGGCGGTCCGCAAATCGAATAGGCTAGAATACAAAGTAACTTTTTGTACTAACGACGTACAAGGGCGATTCTATCGAGAGCGTATTTCGCATCGCTCCTTTCTCATTTCCATCGATCGATCGAGCAATAGGTACGGCAACAGCACCAGCACCAGCACCAAGCACCAGCATCAGTACTACTATCAGCATCTGCAAGGTGGGCAGAATGTTTGAGCGTGGAAGGAACGAGTTGTGCCCCGTACCGCTGAGTGATCGATCGTTCGTTCGTTCATTCGTTCGTTCATTCGATCGATCGATCGATCGATCGATTGAACCAAGACACGTGAAGGAGATCGTTCTTCGAGATCCGACCAAGAGACGGCTTGTCCAATTAGAGAAAGATTTGCGAAAACGAGTCGTGTCCGAAATCGCTTTGACTCCTCGTCGATCGATCGATCGAACTGAAATCAAACTGAAATCAAACCGAACCGAACCGAACCGAACCGAACTAAACCGAATCGAATCGAATCGAATTGAATGTCGCGTCATTGTCGAATCGAGAACATCGAACTGGTTTAACGAATTTAACACGATTTATTTTATTAGCAAGTTAGCAAGTAAGTTTAAGGTACTTATCTTTATAATACTTCTCTCTCTCTTTCTGTTCTATTTGTTAACAGAAATACCGAGGGTCGTACAAACGCAAGGCACAGCTGGAGAAGAAAGTGGAGAACACGAGGACGAAGATGACGATCGTGCATACGATGGAAGAGCCGGTAAGTAAGTGCCAAGTAAACCGGCGTGTTTTTATTCTTCTCTTCTCTTCTCTTCTCTTCTTCGGTTAAACTCTTCTTCGACATACCAACACGAGTCTTAACTCGACGAGTATGACGGCTATTCGTTCTTCCTCGATGTCACGCCTCGATGACTTTATTATTATCATCTTCGTAAATTGATATTTGTGCCAATAATTATGTGGATAGTACAGACACTAAAGTAAGAAATATTGGAAATATTGATTTTATCATTTATTTTATATTATAAATTACTTATTTTATGGAATTTAATAGTCGTCTATAGAAGAAGTGCGTTATATTACGTTTAATAACATTTTTAGCATAAAAAAAAATTATAAGAACAACTCGTGTTGCACGCTGTAGTAATAAAAGAAACAACTGGTTTTAATAGATATGCCCTACGTTCCTCTCACGTTTACATATAAAAAGATAATTTGATAATTATTAAATGCAACACACACTTAGATTTCTTTTTATAACCAATTCTCTATCGGGTATTTTATTCAATTTAACATACACCGTTCTTCCAGACATCTATTTAATAACTTATATTATAAAATAAATTGTGGAAAATATCAATTTTTCTCATTTTATTATTTATATTCTATACTGTCATAATCATCGGTTCTTATTTACACGCATATAAATATATATAAAAAATTGAAATGTAATCGTTAAACTAACATGACCACGCAAATCTCATTCGTACGGTTAAACGTTTCGATACTAATTACACGAGTTTAAATAAATATCGAGGGAGTGAAATTCGAGCTAGATTAACGAGATAAAGTTGGATTACTTTATCCGATAGAAATTAAAAGATTTGCATAACCCTTTTCTATCATTCATCAACTTAAACTAAGAAAATATCATATAAAAGCAAAATCCATATACGATCGTTCATCGTATCTATTTCATATTTATTCACCTCCAATGAAATTTCCCAAGAAGAACCTGATCTTCGACAATTTTTTCAATCTTTAAATCGAGAAATTAGATACGGACATAAAGCACGAGCTTACGATCGATATGCGAATCATAAATGTTTTACGAGCCGTGGGCGAGAGGGGTCGTCTACGCGACAAGAAATTGTCTGAGTTAATATAATTTTCCGAAATGTCGTAAACTGGTAAGTAAATGTCAGGTAAAGCAACATGTGTCTCGCACAAACACACACACACAAACACACACACACACACAGTCTGTCTTACAATTCTAACTAGCATCATTCGTTAAAAAATCTATTTACCGTTCGAACGTGACGATTGCATAGTTCGGAAAATGTTCTCTTCTTCGCTCCCCCACCGCCGTAAATAATATTGCAATGGGACAGAAAGAGTAATTTAAACAATAAGGTCAAATTTCTACTCGGTCGTGTTGAAGAAAGGAATGAAGGAAGGAAGGAAGGAAGGAAGGAAGGAAGGAAGTCGATTTAGATACAAACCGCATCACGCGGAATGGAATGTAAGCGCGATATTAATTTAGCAGACGGAGTAGAAGGAAGACAAAAAGGTGGAGAGGGTAAAAGGAGAAAAGGGAGAGTAAACGAAAGAGAAAGAGAGAGAGAGAGAGAGAAAAGGGAAGGGAAGGAAAGGAAAGGGAAGGGAAGGAAAGGAAAGGGAAGGTAAAACGGAAGAGGGTTTGAACGTCTAGCCGGTTGGTCGCAACCTCTCAGCCACCCCTAATGGCTTAATTAAAACCACCCTCAGTGGTGCGCGACCCGGGCGTTTACTCAACGCGCGCTTCTCCGCGAGAGTACAGTTTCCGTGTTTTATTTACACGCGAAATTCGAATGAAACGCGATCTCGGGGCGATTACATTTCCGATATAAGAGTTATTATTGTAACATAGCAATCAAAGCTTCCTACTCTCTCTTTTCTATCTACTCTCTATACCTGAATATGTTCAATTACGATATTGCGTGGTTCAATTTAAATACATACTTGTATAAATATATATATATATATTCACACTACACGCTCATCTACATGACGACGTGGTTATCGTATCGGTAATTCCACTGGTAAAACGATAAATCCAGGTGGTAATATCCAATAGGAGCATTTCGTTCTTCTGGGAACGAACAAACGAACGCGCGGATACACGATTTGGTTCCTCATTTTTAATTCAGTTTAATCGGCATTCCATCGTAAATCGCAATTGTAAAAGCGTAATACTATCTCGACGTAATCTCATGGATAGAGGAGAGCTCGTTATCGCAATCGAGTTTTTCCCCTAGGGCGCGAGCTCCCTCCTCCCGCC